AAGAAGAAGAAGAAGAAGAAGAAGAAGAAGAAGAAGAAGAAGAAGAAGAAGAAGAAGAAGAAGAAGAAGAAGAAGAAGAAGAAGAAGAAGAAGAAGAAGAAGAAGAAGGTGGTGACTTAATACATGCTTTATGTTCATGGACTGGAAGAGTGAGAGTGTTAAATGACCATTCTCCATAAAGGCATCTCCAGATTCATTGTAATTTCAGTCAAAATCCTAGCCGAAATCTTTATAGAATCTGACAAGTTGATCCTAAAACTCATCTACACCTTCCAGGGCCAATGTATCTTCCAATTTTAAGAAAAAAGAATAAAATTTAATAATACATTTTTTTTTTTGAACCAGGGATTGAACTTGGGACCTTGTGCTTGCAAAGCAGGGAGCGGAACCACTGAGCGAAATCCCTGGCAGTAACAATACATTTTTCGATTTCAAAAATTACTACAAATCAACAGTAACAAGTGGTCTAGTACTGAAATAAAACATAGGTGTGTAAACCAATGGAACAGAACTGAAAGCCCCAAAATAAACATCATTATGGTTGACTAATTTTTTATAAGACTGGTCAGACCCTTTGATAGGAGAAAGAATCATGTTTTCACTAGCATAACTGATGTTCTGTGCTGGTACAACAACTAGATAGTCAGATAGAAAAGAAAGAAACTAGATACCTTACACCATACACAAATGTTAACTAAAATAGACTACAGAGCTAAATTTAGGAGCTAAAGCCATAAATTTCTTAGATAAACATATAAGGAGAGATCTTTATGTTCTTAGACTTGGCAATTAATTTTTATATATGATACTAGAATCAGGAGCAACAAAAAATTCAAGTAGGTAAAATGGACCTCATCAAAATTAAAAACTTTCTGGCTTCAAAGTCTATCACAAAAGTGAAATGGGCCGGGGTTTTAGCTCAGTGGTGCCGCCACCTACCTCGCAAACACAAGGTCCCAAATTCGATCCATGATACCAAAAAAAAAAAAATGATCACTCACAGAATAAAAAGATACTTTAACTTACATATGTAAAAAAGGACTTGTGTCTAAAACAATTAAAAAACTCACAAGTCAATAAAAACATCAGTTAAAAACAGCCACAAGATTTGAATGATAAATGATAAATAAATGACCAATAAACACATAACTCCACATCACTATTAGAAAATTAAGCCCAAAATACAATGCTCCATCATTTTACATCTATAAGTGCAGCTGAAATACAAAAGATAGCTTTCAAAAGTGTTGATCAAGATGTGAAGAAACTGGAACCTTCATACATTGCTGGGAAAAATATAAAATGGTGTGTTCACTTTACAAAGAGTTGGCAGTCCTTCAAAATGCAAAATATAAAGTTGAAATATGATTTTAAAATTTCAGTCCCTTGTATATGCTCATGAGAAATGAAAATGTTTCTCTACATACTGCTTGTACACAGTGCCATCTCTTTTTATTTTTGTAGTAGTTATTAATAAATCATCAAATATATAATTAACTCATTTTTCTGGCAAATTTAAATTTAGTTGGAATCTTCATATTTTTAAATAATAGTGGAATTTTAGCACTTTTTAACTTTTTTCTCTCCCCAGATGCTCTTAATTGCCATTATCTTATCTCTCAGCTAGATTATTATCATGTGGTATTATTGCTGTGTTCGTATTTACATCAATGACAATTTTAAGACAGTAATTACTATTTTGCCATCAATTTTTCAATGTATCACTTTTCTTTATGAGTTTCTTTTGCTTATTTTACTCCTACGAGATAGTCAGGATCTGACAAAGGGGAAAGAGGGCATAAAAATACAAAAAGAAGAGAATATTATAAAAGGAATGGTGAATAAAATGATTATAAAGAGAACAAAACAATTTATTTTGCTTCTATTCCTAACAAGACAATGTAACAGACTACAACCTGAAAAATAACAAAAAAAAATTGGCATAAATTTTTGTCTTGAGTAATTTATTTTTAAATTCAATTTTAAAATTTTGCTCTTTAAAGCCTCATTTCCTATAATTCTCCAAAATTAAAAGAACATGAGGTATTTCAAGTCCTAAAAGAAAACAACCTCCAACCAAGACTGATGTATCCTGCAAAACTCTCTTTCAAAATGGATGGAGAAATAAGATACTTCCATGACAAAGAACACTTGAGAAACTTCATGAATACTAAACCAGCACTACAAGGAATTTTAAACAATATCCTAGAAAAAGACAATAAAGATCACAACACCATGAGGCCCAACAGAGCAAATCAAATAGCCAAGGTAAGAAACTAAAAGGAGAGGGCAAAAAATTAAAGAGTCAACAAAAGAACAAGAACATGACAATAACAAGTCAGTACATATCAGTTATAACTATCAATGTCAATGGCCTCAATTCACCAATCAAGAGAAATAGAATGGCAGAATAGATTAAGAAGCAAAATCCAACAATATGTTGTATACCAGAAACACCTAGTGCAAAAAGAAGCCCATAGATTGAAAGTGAAAGGGTGGAAAACAATTCTCCACATGGCAGGAGCCCAGAAAAAAGCAGAGATAGCAATCTTATTCACAGACAAAGTAAATTTCAAACCAAAACTGATTAAGAGAGACAAAGAAGGCCACTACAAACTTGTAAAGGGAAAAATTCCAGAGGAAGAAATGACAATCATAAACATATATGCACCAAATATAAATGCCCCCAACTATATAAAACAAATATTAAATAACATGAAAAACCAAATAAGCACTAATACCACTGTAGTGGGGGATCTAAATACCCCACTATCACAAATAGACAGATCATCTAGGCAAAAATCAACAATGAAATACTAGAACTGAACCAAGCTTTTGAACGCATGGACTTATTAGATGTTTACAGAGTGTTCCACTCCACAAAATCAGAATATACATTCTTTTCAGCTGCACATGGATCATTCTCCAAGATAGATCACTTATTAGCTCACAGAACAGGTTTGAATAAATGCAAAAGAATTGAAGTTATTCCCTGTATATTATATTATCAGATCACAGTACAATAAAGATGGAGAAAAATAGCATAAGAAACCGTAGGAACTTCACAAACACATGGAAATTGAACAACACTCTTCTGAACAATCAATGGATCACAGAGGAAATTAAAGAAGAAATCAGACAATTTTCACAAATAAATGAAAATGCCAATACAACATACAGGAATCTATGGGACACAATGGAAGCAGTTCTATGTGGAAAATTCATAGCACTGAATGCCCACATTAGGAAAACAGCAAGCTCAAATAAACAACCTAATCTTAGACTCCTAGAAAAACAAGAGCAAGAAAAACCCAAAGCTCGAATAAGAGAGGAAATTATAAAGATTAAGGCAGAAATCAATGCAATGGAAACTAAGAAAACAATACAAAAAATAAATGAATTGAAGAGTTGGTTTTTTGAAAGACTAAATAAAATTGATAAACCCTTAGCAAACCTTATCAAAAAAAGGAAAGAAAAACTTCAGATCCATGCAATCAGGAATGAAAAAGGTGAAGTCACAACAGATCCTAAAGAAATCCAGAGGATCATTAATACCTACTATGAGAACCTGTACTCTAATAAAATGGAAAACACAGGAGAAATGGACAGATTTCTAGACACTTATGAATTACCAAAATTGAATGAAGAAGATAAAAACATTGTAAACACCCCAATTACAACTAGTGAAATTGAAAATGTAATTAAAAACTTACCAATAAAGAAAAGCCCAGGTCCTGATGGATTCACTGCTGAATTTTACAAGACATTTAGAGGAGAACTACTCCCATTACTCCTCAGACTTTTCAATGAAATTAAAAGGGAAGCAATACTTCCAAGTTCATTCCTGGAAGCAAACATCACTTTGATTCCCAAACCAGGGAAAGATGTAACTAAAAAAGAGAACTACAGGCCAAACTCCTTAATGAATATAGATGCAAAACTCCTCAATAAGATACTAGCAAACAGAATACAGAGAATCATCCAGAAGATCATACACCCTGACCAAGTTGGATTTATTCCAGGGATGCAAGGATGGTTCAACATACGTAAATCAATAAATGTAATATGCTATATTAACAAAGTCAAGTACAAAAACCACATGATCCTCTCGATAGATGCAGAAAAGCATGTGACAAAATTCAACACCCATTCATGAGAAAAACTCTGCAAAAAAATTAGAATAGATGGTCTATATCTCAACTTAATAAAGGCTATCTATGAAAAACCAACAGCCAACATCATATTAAATGGCAAAAAACTGAAAACCTTCACGTAAAAATCAGGAACAAGTCAAGGATGCCCAATATCACCACTCCTTTTCGATATAGTTCTGGAAACATTAGCCATAGCAATTAGACAAGAGAAAGAAATTAAAGCAATAAAGATAGGAAAGGAAGAAGTTAAACTATCATTATTTGCTGATGATATGATACTCTACATTGAAGACCCAAAAAACTCCACCAAAAGACTTCTTGACTTAATTGACACTTTTAGCAGAGTAGCTGGATACAAGGTCAACACCCAAAAATCAATATCCTTCTTATACACAAATAACAGACTCATTGAGAGGAAATTAGGGAAACAATTTCTTTCACAATGGCATCCAAAAAAAAAAATGAAGTATCTGGAAATCAATCTAACAAAAGAAGCAAAAGACCTCTACACTGAAAACTACAGCACTCTGAAAAAAGAGATTGAAGAGGATATAAGAAAATGGAAAGATATCCCCTGCTCCTGGGTAGGAAGAATCAACATAGTGAAAATGGCCATACTACCAAAACTGCTATACAGATTCAATGCAATACCAATGGAAATTCCAACACTATATTTCACAGAACTAGAAAGGAGAATCCAAAAATTCATTTGGAACCATAAGAGACCTACAATAGCAAAAGCCATCCTAGGCAACAGAGACATGGCAGTAGGTATAACAATTCCCAATCTGAAACTATACTACAAAGCCACTGTAATAAAAACAGCATAGTACTGGCAAAGAAACAGACTTGAGGATCAGTGGAACAGACTGGAAAACACAAAAACAACTCAAGATGTACTCAGCTACCTCATCTTTGACAAAAGAGCTGACCATCCCCACTAGAGGAAAGATAGCCTCTTTAATAAACGGTTTTGGAAAAGCTGGATCTCAACCTGCCAAAGATTAAAACTAGACCCTTATCTCTCACCATGTACTAAAATAAAATCAAAGTGGATTAAAGATCTAAATGTTAAAACAGAAACACTAAACTTGCTGGAAGATAAATTAGGCAGAACTCTTGAAGCCATTGGCATAGGAAAAGACTTTATGAACAAATCCTCAGTAGCACGGAAACTAGCAGAAAGAATCAACAACTGGGATCTCGTCTTATTGAAAAGCTTCTGCATTGCAAAAGAAACCATCAACAGAACTAAGAGACAACCTACAATGTGGGAAAAAAGTTTTACCAGCTGCTCCTCAGACAAAGGATTATTATCTAGAATATATAACGAATTCAAAACAATAAGCCCCCCAAATATAAAGACCTGATTTAAAAATGGTCATCTGAAATGAACAGACATTTCTCTGACAAAGAAGTCAAAGCAACAAGTAAATATATGAAAAAATGTTCCACATCACTGGTCATTTGAGAGATGCAGTTGAAAACAACACTGAGATTCCACCTCACCTCACAAAGAATGGCTGCTATCAAGAAATCACACAATACAAATATTGGTGGGGTTGTGGGGAGAAAGGAACCCTTCTCCATTGTTGGTGGGAGTGAACACTTGTGCAACCACTGTGGAAATCAATATGGAGATACCTCAAAGAGCTCGGACTAGAGGTTCCATTTGACCCAGCCATCCCTCTGCTGGGTATCTTTCCAAAAGAACTAAAAGAATCATATCACAGTGATGTATGTGCACCCATGTTTATAGCGGCACAGTTTGTAATAGGTAAAACTTGGAAACAGCCCATTTGCCCGTCAATTGGAAACTGGATAAAGAAGATGTGGCTTTTCTATAAAATGGACTATTACTCAGCCATAAAGAATGAGAAATTAGAGTCATTTATAGGAAAATGGATGCATATTGAGGATATACTCCTAAGTGAAATAAATAAGTCACACATGTGTAAATACCACATAGTTTCTCTGGTACAAAAAGCTATAATTATAAATAAGATCCTAATGGTATAATTTACAATATGAAATAGGAAGGAAAGGGCTAAAGGTGTAGGGAAAGTGGGAAGGGTAGGGGAAAGAAAATAAGGGAAAAGAAAAAATATGAGAAAATGTAAAAATGGAAATAAAGAGTTTGTAAATGGGGAGGGGAGAAGTGGGTGAAGGGAGGGCAGGGACAAGGGGAAAAAATGAGAACCAAGAACTGTCATGTGAAGGTACAGGATCCCATTAAGGAAAGTAACGGTATTGTAGACCTAGATTGTACCAATAAACTCAATTTAAAAAAATTAAAAGAACATGATGGGCTGTGCAAGTTTACATATAAATTTAAAGGAAATACTCACCCCCTAAATCTGTTTCAATATGTTTAGTTTCATTTCTGTAACTCTGGCCATTGTATAATACTTGTGCACTACAACTATACTTTGTTTTGGGAAGAAGTTTATTTAATTTAATACATTTGCCATTAGATGTTGAAGAATCTGAAAGAAAGAAATACTGCATATGTTATATTAATATACAAATTTCTTCTTTTTTCATTTATACAGAAATATAAATTTTTCCTTCTTTGCCTTATTTGTAATACCATAATATTTATTAGATTAAAAACCAATAAAAATGGTCCAAATAAAAAGTCAAAGAGCTTGAAAAGGATTATGTTATGCTCAACTTTCAAAAAAATATTTAGCAGCTATAATTTAAAAGTGGCACTAATTTAACTGATGGAATGAGGCATTAGGTTGGGATTCTGTACTCAGAAACTTAGATTGCACCTTGGTAGCCTATTATGGTTACATCTAAGATGCCCCCAAAATCTCACAAGCTCAGAGGTGGGCTTTCAGAAGGTGACTGGGTCATGGGGGTGCTGTCCTCGTCAGTTGATTGGCTGCTGACGAGTTCATCGCGGAATGTGCTGTCAGGAGATGGGGCCTGCTTGAAGGAGGCAGGTCACTGAGAGTAGACTTTCCCCCGGCTCTTCCCTCTCTTTCTGCCTCCCAGCTTCTGTGAATTGAGAAGCTTTCCTCTGCCACACCCTTTCGCCATGCTGTTTCTATCTTGAAGCCAGTCAACCATGGACTGAACCCTCTGAAACAATGAGTCAAAATAAAGCTCTCCTTCTTTAATTGTGGCTGTCACATAATTTGTCCCAGCGATGGGACAGCTGATACATAGCCTTTGCCTAAAGAGGTTTTCTAAATCGATGAGTTTTACTGTCAGTCTATTGTGTGTTCTGATTTGCTTGGCCACATATTCACCTTAACTTGATGATTACAACCAGTGCCACATTCCATCATGCGTGTGTGTGTGTGCATATGTGTGTGTGTGTGTATAGCAGCATATGTATGCGCATACATATCGGTTTGTTTTGCCAAATACAGCCTGGCTTTATGCTGAGGATAGGCAAATGTATCCCATTAAATTCTAATACACTGAAAAGGAAATGAGATAATCCAAAACCAGATTCACTCATGAGTGCTTGCTCTTTTCCTGTTAAACAAGCATCATAAAACTGTGTGTGAATTCTGTTGGCAGAGCCTGACCAAGCGGACTCTTGACTCCACAATCTTATATTTGCTTTTTCTAACAGAGTATATGTAATTACCACTCTGTTGTAACACCCTTCTCTCACAAGCTCTTCAGCGATACCTGGTGTCTAACCATCATCAAAACAAAATCTATAAAGTAATTAACTTTTACTATTTTGATATTTACATATCGAGGTGAGTATTTGTGAATCTGTTTGGCACAGATAATACTTATTTGACTTAAAACATGCCAGAGACCAAAAAGGAGAGGAGGAAAAGATACAGGACAATATCTAGAATGGTTTCCACAACACCAAAAAAAAAAAAAAAAAAATCTGTGATGAGCATTCCATTCTTACCACATTGAAATTCATATGTAAAACTTTTAGTACAATTAAAGGGTTGGTTTTTTTCCCAACATAAACAAAGTGAAGTATCTGCTTCTTCTTCCCGTGTACAGTCAATTAACTGGAGCGTTTCATATTCTGTCAAGAAGATATAGAAATAGGCAATTAAAAGAACATAATAGGTACATTTCTCAACTAAAGTCACTGACATAGAATTTGGCAAGCATTTAGAGTGCTTTAGAAAAAAACAAAATAACTCTCAAGATTTGGTGTTTCTTGATTATTTAGTTCATTATTATTAAGATTTTTTTTTTTCTTTTTGGTACTAGGGATTGAACTTGGGACCTTGTGCTTGTGAGGTAGGTGTGGCACCACTGAGCTAAATCCCCAGCCCAAGCTTTAGTTTTAATTGACACAGAATTGTCCGACTTTGTGGCATGTAAGGTGGTACCTTGATACATGTACACATTGTGTAATAATGATCAAAACAGGGTAATTAGCATACCTATCACTTGAAACATTTAACATTCATTATAGCACTGTATTATTGTTTCAATATTGTGTATTTCAGTTTCATTTGGGATTATGCTACTTTTAAAAATGAAACTTAAGCAAACATCTAGATAAAAGTATATTTTTACACATTTTTTACAACATTCCATTTTGATTTCTTAATTATATCCTTTTATACATTTGGCTAAGAAATGCTTCAGTGGAGACTGCTTGACACCTTCCGTCCCTTCTCTCTCCCAGAAATGGCAAAAACAGCACAAATTCCTTAACGTCACTATAATTCTCCTTGTTTGCTGTTTGCTTTTATTGAGCCAGGGTCTCACTATATAATTCGGGCTCCCCTTGAACTTACTACTTAGCCCAGGTTGGCCTTTAACGAGTGGTGATCCCACTGTCCCAGCTTCCTAAGTGCTGAGGTCACAGGCATGTGCCACCATGAATGGCCAGTTCTCCTTTTTTATGAGTATATTTTGTGTCTTCCCATAAACATCAAATCCTTAACTTTGTGTTTTTCTCTAACAGGACAAAGTTGTATCTAAAAGGACAAAATGATATGAACAATATGTAATGATATGAATTAAGTAGAAGACACAAAAGAGAAAGTTTGTGTATAATTACCCAGTAATATAAATTATATGGAACCTACATGAGCCTCTGTGTAAAAGAAGTAAAAAATAAAAAAAATTAAACCTACTTCTCTGTAAAAGAAGTAGGAGAGGGTGACTAAAGACATAAAGAGAAGGCTTATGTTACTTCCTGATTTTTACTTGGTTAGGAAAGCATAAAATTCCACTATTGACTTTCTTTCCTTGGGCTCTGGTTTCTGTTCTCTCACCACACAGGTTCCTGAGCTCACGAGAACAGGCAATCATGGATCCATACTGCTTCTATGAACACACTTACAGCGACGGGATGGGTGGATGTTTACCTGGTGGTACATCTAACTGGAAAACTTTAGCTCCATGACACGAATCATCGGCTACTTCAACACTGGAATATGAGCACTCTCTTAGGCCTGGCAAGTCTTCACATTTCGAAGAATTACATGTTGCGGTATCAGGAAGACCCAGTTTTGCCCTAAATAATTTACTGTTCTTGTCATATGTGTATGTCACGAAGAAATTATCATATTTTTTATCTAAAAGAAAACAAAAATGAGAATTATCCTTTATTCAGAATGAATAGATACACATGAAGTACAAATGCATTAATATGTATTTTGTAAATGTCAAACACTAAAAGATCCCCAGAAATATGAATACTGGACGTGCATGAGGTGACTCCATACCACTTTCATTGTTCTCTTCCCCTTTCAAGAACCTCAGCTTAGAAACATATTAAATAATTATTACATTTAATTTCTCTCTTCCTAAGTGGATTATAAATGCTATGAGAGTAAAACCAATCTATTTATTTGATCACTGCTATAAATCCAGTTCCATGAACGATATCTGTTATTAATATGAGCTCAGTAATTATTTCTTGATGCACAAAAGAAGAACACAGAAAATAAAATAAGAACCAAGATGGATTATGTAAAGGTGCAAACTTCCAATAATGAATGTCACTATACTGTACACCTTAAATGTACCAATAAAATTAATTTTAAAAATTAAATAAACAGAAGCCAGGCATGGTGGTGCAAATTTGTAATACTAGCACTAGAGAGGCTGAGGCAGAAGGATTACCATGAATTCAAGGTCAGCCTGGGCTACACAGTGAGTTCAAGGCCAGCCTGAACTGCATAGTAAGACCCTGTCTCAAAGAAAAAAAAAGCATCTAATATTCTCTTCTTTTCTTTAACATTTCCTTTGTTTTATGAAACATTGTAACACATTCCTCCAAATATTTGGGATGCTAATAATTCAGAGATCGTAGGCCCTCACTCAACCCTTTAATTAATGTAAAATTATCACTGATAACAAAAAAAAAAAACAAACACTTCCTAAACTTTATTTATTGTCAACAACTTCAACTGACTGGTAAAAATATCTTTGAGCAAATATTAATTTAAGCATTCATTTCATTTAACAAAAATTATTAAGCCATTTTTTATGTTTAAAATACTATCCCAAGCACCAGGGCTCCAAAAGCAAATCAGACGCAATCAGCTTTTTAAGAAACGCAGTCGAATTCAGAGCGCACAAAGACTGAAGCGCAGAAGTCACACAAGGGCAGGGCTGTGCCCAGAATGAACTGGGGATAAAGGAGACGTTGATTCAGAGGGCGGAACGGGAGAGGGTTTCCTGAGAAAATGGCGGACGCTGCATTTTAAATGGGAGCGGTGCACAGAAAAGCAAACACGGGCCAGAGAAGAGGTAGGGGAGAGAATTGGAAGGACAGAGGCAGAGGGGTGGGCAGACTCAGAGGTGGGAAGATCTGTGTGGAAAACTGCAGGGAGGTTGCTTAAGTGAAGAGCTTGAGGCAATGGTGCCGGGGAGAGGGACAGAGAGCCGAACGTGAAGGGCCCTGTAGCAATGGCGACACAGGAGGAGGAGCTTGGCCCTGACTGCACGAAGAGTGACTGAGGGCAGTGGCTTCGGGGGTGGCATTTAGAAGTGAACGGAAGGATAAGCCTGACCACAAAGGAGGAGCTTGTTTCCCCTGAGAAAAGAGGAAGAAAATAAGGAAAGGATCGTTTTCAGATTTTACGCTTGAGCCAGCCTGGGGGGGGGGCAAGGAGGAGGAGACATTTTTTTTTTCCTCATTGAGTTTACTGGCACATTTTAGGTATATAATACAGTTACATTCAGTATTGGGATCTTGTACCTTTACATGACAGGTCCTGGTTCTCATTTGTTCCCCTTGTCCCTGCCCTCCCTTCAACCCCTCCTCCCCTCTCCTCCCCATTTACAAACCTTTTATTTCCATTTTTTCATTTTCTTCTACTTTTTTTCTTTCCCTTATTACCTTTCCCCTACCCTTCCCACTTTCCCTACACCTTTAGCCCTTTTCTTCCTATTTCACATTGTCAATTATCTCATTAGGATCTTATGTACTATTGAGACAGTTTTTCCTTTCAATGAGCTTTCAAAATATTATCCACATTTTATGTTAACCATCACAGTGAATCCTTGCCCCATTCCAAAGCCAAACTTGTTACCATATTATTTTACAGACACATCAGACATAGTTAAGCAGCTTCAGAATTATCTAGCTAGTGATTTTTAATATAGGTTCTCAAAACCAGGTTTGAATACAAAAATCCAACAGTCTTGTCATTGCTGAATACCGGCCTTTAAGAACTAGAGAAAGTTGTGGTTGAGAATTGAGAACCAATGAGCCTAATGGAAAGCTTGGAACAAAGAAAGAAACAGTGCAACTGTAACGTGACATGCACTGCTCCTAAAACAAACAAACAAACAAACAAACTCACCACATGGAGTTGGAGTTGTAGCAGGAACTGTAATAGAGAAGAAAAGGAAGGAAAATTATTAGGATTTTTGGTGTAGCATATATTTTGGGGAAAGGTGATTTACAATGCTTCAACTTGATAAACTGTAGTCTATCTAGCTAGTTTAACACATAATACAGAGATTGCCAAGTATCGTGTTATAATAATCCAGTAATATGAAATAATTTTATAAATTAGCCCAATAAAATTTTGATAAACAATTTTGTCAAATATCTGATTGTGGTACAGCAATGTGCCTAGTCATGCTGCCCAAACTATTAGAAAGGTCTTCACTGCCTTTGTAGATATAAAAGTAAATGTATACAACTCTAACCCTTATAGAATGAAGTTTATACTTTTTATTTTTAAAAACAGACAACAGGTAAGGGATGCTTTGTTCTCTGTTGTAACTTTCAAAAGCAAAAATGCGTTCTGAACAAATAGAATCTTATGTGAGTCCATGGATTTAACTAAAGAATCTGGAAGCTAAGGGGTCTCTGCCAATCTCTTAGAGTTGCAAGAACTTAGGGCGCAGGATGATCTTGAGGGCTCTGTCTTCCTTCACTGATCCAGATGCCGCCATTGCTGTGGGCGATGGCGGAAGGCCTCACCCTTTAACTCCATGTCCCTCCCTGCTTGACTGAAACTCATCTCCTGGAAAGGAGCCCCCCTTCGACAGACTTATTCTCCACACCAGAAATTAAGGCCACTGTTAGATAGAGAAAGAATTTCTAACGGCTTAGGTTATCTCTCATACATGTTTGTATAAAGGACACCTCTCTTGCGGGGCTACTGCGACCATGCGGCGGGGTAGAGGAACTTCATGTCCTGATCTCTCGGCTGTGCCACTGCTAAACAGAAAACGGTCTAGGAGGTCCCCAGCTCTCAGGGTTAAAAGGCTAAGTTGAGCTTGGCAGAGAAAGCGGCCCAAAGCTGAGCGGCGGGCGGTGTGGGGGTGAGGTGCCTGCGTGACTGGGGGTGAGGTTGTCACCTATTGCTGTGCTTGAAGGGAGAATGCTTGCTGCAGGGCTCTGTGTGGATGCTGCAGTGGCTACAGAGGTGAGATCTGCAAGGAAAGGAACAGAAGAAAGTTAATGAGTCCGTCCTCCTGCAGGGCAATGGGCACCCTCTTCCACAAGGAAAGCCTTTGCTCTAGGCAACCTCAGGTGAATCGATGCTGTTTTAAAAATAAACCAAAGACTTATCTACAAATTGCCCTTTCAGGTAAGTAATATTTCGAGGAATTTGAACTAAACATTGTCTATGTTCAAGGAAAGCCCTTCTTGCCTTTGTGTAATTCTTACTTGATGTACAGTCTCCCCGACATTGTACTTTCCCCTGTCCATGACAGCATGACGGGTAAAGGTTACTTGTTCAAAATGTCTATTACTCTCGGGCTTTCTCCTTAATCTGTCTTTGCATCGGTCTTATCAAATGAGTCTATCATGTCCACTTTTGTAGAAGGAAAAGCAGTAGTAATTGTCCTAACTGGCTAGAAAATTGAAGAAGCTGGATTTGATCCTAGGGCTGTCTGCTCTTGAAACCTATCAAAGTCTGTTCTTCTTTGACATGAACCTCCTGATTCTTTTATAATAAAATAAAATATGCCCCAGAAAAAGCTTACTGGTCAGTTTATTTTGCCCAATTTAGCATCAAGATAGGAAAGTTTATAAAACAGGAAGCCTAAAAATATTTGGAGCAAAATGAAAGGGCTACGCTCGACTTAGGAGTTTCCATTTCCTTAGCTGCGGCCTAAGACAACTGGCTCATGCTGGTCAAACCTGAGGAGGTATCTGGGGTGCTGGTGTTGGAGGTGTGTGCAGGTAAGGCAGCAGAGCTGTGGCGTGCAGGGCTGAGGGTGGCTGCTGGGGTGAAGGTTGTGTCTGCAGGAAAGGTGGTGGCTGCACTCCTCTCTCCCGGGACACCTGCAACCAGAAGGGCTGTCAGCGCTGCTGCCGGTCCTGCCACCCGAGGGCAGATAGCAGACGGCCAACACGCATTCGACTGAGGCTGACAGCAACAGGCAGTGGGGCACAGCCATGGCACCAAAGTGGATGCATGTCACTAAACTGTGCAACAGCATGTGGACTTGCAGGAAAGATGAATTTAGGGGCACAAGATGGGATCATACACAGCTCCATAATCAGACCACGGATGGCTTGGACAGCCCAGGAAGGCCAAGCCTCCTAGCCGAGCACTGCCTTGGGCAATATTAAAAAAAATTATCAGTGCTGCACAGAGAGATGCTGTCTTGGGGGTCCTGAGACCACACGGACTGAAGAACTCTAAAGATAAAAGACCATTCGGGCTGGCCCCGGGGGAGGTGGGAGCCTACAGCCTCCCAGGAGCAAGTGCGCCTCCCTGGGGAGTCTGCCTGCTTGCAGTTGCTCAATTTTAATTTTCTTAAAATAGAGCTTGAAAGGGTTCCTGCCTGCGCAGAGGGTGGACTCTGAGTTCTTTTCCTTGTGGCTGAAGGTTACGATTCTATTTTCATTATGTAATCTCCCTTGCCAGAAGAGAAAATCAAATTGGCTTGGAACCAACAAACTTCACAGTACACTGACATAATTCCCTTCTTTCCAATCGTATGAACCAATTAGTATAGCATCAGGGCTATAGCAGAAGTAGCTGCACATTGTACTCGGTTAAGACTTTTCATTGTCTAGCTTCCAAGCTCTTTAATGCAAACACTTCTCCCTAGATATCACGTGCACAATCACAACACACGCAATCCATGTGTATTCCTTGTATTCTACCAGATGACTAGCACTGTGCTAGTTGCTATGGAAAAAGCAAAAGAACTCTGAGTCAGCCCGGATTGGAGAGCTTCTTTGGTTATTTCATGCTCAAATCCCTTTGGCCATTGGCTCAATGATATAAAACAGTCTCTCGCTTGCAGTCAGATTCTCTGTTTCCTCAATGACATAGGTATGCATGCTCTGCAAATGGCTTTGATGTGGGTAGGCAGGCATGTTCCAATTACAAAGGGATCGCAGCCCATAACAGCACCTCTTTTGGGATTGGAAATTTATTTCCCAACCCAGAGACTGAGTTTTCGCTCTTTCTTCAAAAGTCACTGCATCCAAATTTAACTAATTCACTCAAAGGAGTGAATAAACTAAGCAAAGTTCCTCAGTTCTGGATACTGAATAGGACTCTAAAGAAATACAAGTATTCATTTTCCTCTTTAAAAATTCACTTAGACATAGAACCGGCCCTCTGTAAGTTTTCAAAGCAGCCGGGTTTGTCTTCAGTCTTCTTGCACCTTCTCTTCTGGTCTCTCTCACTCATTTTGAAATCTCCCCCACAAGTGTCCTTGTTCCCAGTGCTGTCCTGAATCTCCCATTTCATCTTATTCAGCTTCCTGACCTTCCTTCTTCCTCTGAAAACTCATTTCTCTTGTTAGGTAGGTAATCTCAGCCACGTTTTGGGAGTGGCATTCAAATTTTAATTAGGCTGGTTAATCTTAATAGATCTTTAATTAGTGGACTTAGCCACTGCGAGGAAGAATTCTTTGATCCGTGCACAGCAACCCACTTTGTGCCACACCCAGCTCCCAAGGGTCTGTCCTGATTATTTTACAGCTTCTTCCTCTCCACCAATTTGAGGAGAGCACCACATTTTTTTTTCTCAGTGGTTCCCTGGAAGTTGGAGATGGTGGAACAAAAGAAGAAACTAGGGCAGCTTTTCTCCTAGTTTAAAGTATGATGATTTTCATGCTGAGAGAACAAAATTAATATTTCAAAACAGTCTTTATCCCGACTGATGTGCATGACTTCAGTGTCACATTCATACATAAAGTAAAGCACTCCACTGCAGGCCCTGTAGGCCTTCCGGTCATCTGTGAGCTTAGGACCTGAGAAACCATGTCCTTGTTTTCCTGACTAAAAGGTGATCCACACAGTGATGGACACTGATTTTGGAAGGACAAGGGAGACCTTTATATACAGAGATGCGAAGCTAAAAGCATCTTGATGCTAAATAGGAGAAAGGAGGATCTGTTTCATAATCATTTCATACATAACAATTGCATTGTGTTTACATTTTTTCAGTGCTCTTCATTGATAATAAGGAGCCACTTTACTGTTTTTCCTAACAGTTGTTTTTTGATTTGAGGTATTGGGACAAAGAGTCCACCATACTCTTCTTTATTACTTGCCTAAAAAGAGGTTTTTCACTACAGATTGCCCAAACTATGAAGAAATAAACAGTGTCATTGATAACAGTTTCTGCCTGAGCACATTTTTGCTGTATCCTCCCTTGTAATTACTATTCCATCTCCTTTAAAAACTCTGTTATGTAGCTTCTCGGCTTCTCATCCTATGGGTCACTGTGAAATTCCAATTTATCAACTTGTTCAGCATTGAACAAGGCGGTATTTCACCTCCACATCATTTTTTTTTTTTTTTTAAATATACCAGGGATCGAAGTCGGGTCCTTGAGCATGCGAGGCAGGCGGCGGCACCACTGAGCTAAATCCCGGGCCCTGCCCACACCATTCTCAAATGCAGCAGTTTGTCAAGTACTTCCTATCTGCTCCAGTCTAAAGGCCCCGCAAACCTGAGGGTTCAGGCCCGCCCGAGGCGGGCTCGAGTGTGGTAAGGTCAGCCCTGCCGCTGAGTGCCTGAGGGTCAGCTCCTCCGGTAGAGGGCGCCGGCGAGTCGGCGTGCATGCGAGGGAGAGGCGTCGGTGTGGTTGCAACACCTGAGGCAAGAAAGTGAGATCATCGCATCAGTCTTCCCACGGCCCCACCCCGCTGCGGGTGAAAATTTACATGCCAAGAGATTAATAAGAAGCAAAATGCTGTCACAATTTACCAAACCGTGGAGTGACCCGATCTACTGAAATACTGAAGCTCTGGGCAGGAAGTGGCGCCCTGAGCTCCCCAGGTACAGATCCCGGGGCGCCCTCTGGGCTCCACGCGGCCTCAGAAGGTTCGCGATTCCGGATCGCACTTTGACGTCCAGATCACGGTGGCTTTTCTGAATTCACCATCAGCTTTACAAACTGAAAGCTGGGACATTTCCTTGTACGTCAAGTAAGAAAAGAATCCTCCATAAGGCGATCGTCTCTTACAAATCACACAGGAGAAAGAGGAAAACGGACACGAAATACAGTAGGCATCTAATGGATAGAATGACCAAAAAGCATGCTCATCGTTATGAAAAATTAAAGAAATGTAAGTCAACATGGGATTTTTTTTTAGCTGTCATAGGGGCAGTTTTCACATCCTGATAACATCAGACCTTGCAGGTGCGGAAGTAGGGACGCATGGGTGTCTGCGCATGCGCACAGAGCCATTTGCCGGGCGCTGAAAGCCATTTCACAATGGTTAACAAGATGTACTAAAGGACCCGGATTCAAAATGACGTTATTTCCACTGGATATGTGAGCTACATGTAAAATATCTGTATGGGTCTGTTCATACATAGATATTTCCATACTGATCATTGTGGAACATGCATAAATGATTTTTATAAAAAATACTTCATACTTTAATGGTGTGCATGTGGGTGCTTATTGTAATCATTTTCAAAAAAGAAACACCTTGAAGAGTGTACACTGTACCATTACAAAATTGAAGGAAACGATGTTTTCCTAGATCTATGGATAAGCAAGAAAAATTTGATTTCATTTAAAAGCAGAGGAAAGGTTCCAAGCACATTTCACCATCAAAATACTGTGCCAGAGTAAGTCAGTATTTTATTATTATTCATCTTTATTTTCAACCCATTCCATTTTGTCTGTTCTCTAACACAGTCTACCTGTAAATCTGTGGTTTTAATAAAAAATGATACATATGAACAAAGATTTAGGAATACTGCACGGGTATGTTTTGTGTGTGTGTGAAGTGAAATCTGAAATCCTTAAAATAGAAAGCTGGGTGACATGACTTAGGAAATGAAAACATCTAGCACAGCGGTGGCGAACCTATGGCACAAAGAGCCCTTTCTGTGGGCACACGAGCCGAGTGCTCCAGCATTACCCCAGCAATGAATAACAGTGCACAGGGGGGCGGTGCTGGCAGTTTGCCAAGTGGGTTTGAGGTTGCATTTGGGCACTTGGTCTTTAAGAGGTTCACCATCACTGGTCTAGCCCGAATATTTTGCCTGTCATCAGCATCTTCACCCTTATATTCTTTTTACAAAAATTTCAGTCAATGAAGGTATTTAGATCTGTTCTAAGACACTATGCTGCTATGGTGACAAGGCAAATGGGTTAAAGATTTAATATACAGTCCTGTAATCACTAAAAGAAGGCATTAGCCATTTATTTGTTTACTAAAAGCCAATCAACCTCAACAGTATTGCACTTGAAACGCCACAGTGCCCTCTAAGCAGATGATTTTATGCATGCTGGTTTTTCAGAAAAAGCTAACTGCCACCGTTAGGCTATCAAATAGTTTAGTCCCTTCTCATAGTACTCTGTAAACCTGTTCGTTTACCTAGGAAAACGACTTCATAGTACACCGTTTCAGAAGCGCTTTGAGAGTCACCATGTTGGTAAACTGGTGTAAAAACACACTGGAGGTGACCATAAAATGAGATGAAGTCACTGCTGCAGAAACACTGTGAGAAGCACCAGCCAATATACCTCCCATATCAATCTGATAGTTTGCTATGAACATGATTACATTTACTCGCTTTCCATTACTGGGTCTCACAACTGATTCATTTGAATAAAGTTTAAGTAACGCCAATATTCCTAGAAGAAACCTATGTAATAAAGCTACGTATCAAATCTCACAGTGAATATTTGTAAATAAGTGGTCAAAACTCACTAATTTCCTGAGAATGCCAATTTAGAATGGAATGAGAAAATAGGAAAATTCTACTTTAGGGGACTTGCCTAGGATGGCCAGAGGGAGGCAGCCCCCAAATAGGAGCTCCCACCTGTCCAAGGCTGCGGGGAACCCACAAGAGCAGGAACAAGGGAGAGAATGGTGGGGAGCGTGGACGCGAGAGGACCATGGAACCCCACTCCTGATCTTACTTAGGGGCTGTTCCTCCTCCCTTTCCTTTTCCCTAAGACATGCATACATTGCTGTAGCCAACCAATTTTTATACACATCTAATAGTTCTTAAACTATTCACTTGAATAAAATCATATCCATAGAACCTGCACACATAATTTCAAGAAAAAAAAAAACATTTTCATTACTTCAGAATTCTTTTAGAAGATAAGTTTACTCCAACACCATTTTGATTAAGAACATTTTTGTGCCAACCTGTCAGGTTCAGAGCATTAGCATTATCCAAAGGGTCCAGGGAGACAGGGGCTGAGGAACCGCTTGGCCTAGGGGCAGGTGTGGTCTCTGAGGAGTCATTTCCTCTTTCAGAGATGCCTGGGGGTGAGGATGCGGTGGTGAGAGCAGGTGAGGGGTCGCTAGGAGGCACAGCACTGGGCTTCTGGGCTGCGGTCAGTCCTGTTAGTTAATGGGAGATTGAAGGAGAAAATAAACATGAGCATGTTAACCTGCAGCCTGTGGTTATCTGAGAACACTAACTCCCTAGTCCTTCAGAGTACCCATGAAGCACTCGTGTGCACTCACACACACACACACACACACAACCCACATATGCGTACATAAGGTGTGTATGCATATATAATTGTATATACATAGAAGCAAATATGGGTGCAAAGGCACGTATAATAAGAAATATAATATCCAGATGCAGATAACAAATCAAAGGGTAGAAAGTAGGAAAACGGACTTGAAAGCAGGTATCCTGGTTTCTCTTGCCACATAGTCACTGGTTTCTCAGCTGCTTAGAGCAGTTGACAAGAATGAACCCCTCTGGGTAAAAGATGCTTACCAGGAAAATTTACAAGCCTTATAAAATAATGGAGAAAAGTTAATTCAAAAAAGAGTATTATTATGTACTAGGATTCCAGGATTTTGAAAAATGAGATATAAAAGTCCTACATGCACACAGATTGATTTTTTAAAAACCAAATACAAACCAACCAAGGAAAGACGAGTAAAAAGTTGGAACGTGAAACACATAGACAGGGAAAATAGTAGGCAGAAAGGATCCACGCTTACAAAAATGTCAAACGTCTTCAGCTTCATATTGACAAAAGACATGTAAGACGCTGAAGGAACATTTGCACAGCGTGAGTTCACTTTTAAATGAGGGGGAAAATGTTAGCAGTCATAGTTAAATCAGTACTTGCTCAGATGATAATCTGTGTACAAATGGCAAAGTTTTCTACAGCACAAATTAGCACCATGTGTTAAAGATATTTAAATCTGTTTTTGCTTTTTTACTGAAAAAGTGCATTTCCTTGTGAAAAAATAAGGAAATGCGCCATTTTATGTAAATAATCATGTGATCTCTGGTATTTTAGAGCTCTTTTTTTTCCCCCTAAATTTTCTGCTTGATATGTATTAACTTCTTGTAGCGGTAAAGTATACATATTTAAATGCTGAATTAACCAAAAACAGATTATCACACAAGTATTTTAATTAATTCAATTTAATAAAATTAGGTAAAAGAGAACGGCACACATATGGGAAAGAGGAGAAGCAGGGGAAAGCTAGAAAGGAAGTAGAAATAATTAGAATAAGAAAAAGTTAAGAAAATTGAGTTATTGCTGAGTAGAGAATTAAGAAAATGGAAATTGAAAACAAAGAAATCCTAGCTTCACTCATTAATGCCGGAGGTCAATTGCAATTATTTTGCACTAAACACAGATAAGGACAATTAGGATGGTATTGAACTGCCCCAGAGGATATTGCAGAGACAGACTGTGATTACGTTCAATATCTAGACTTCATAACCAGTTCATTCACAAATACACCCAGTTAGTAACAAATGTACAATCGATTATATGCCCACATAACCAACTAATAGACAAATAGCTACCTCCAGGCTTCGGTGTAATAGCAAAAGTCTAACCATCGTATTCTCTCATCTGCTGTGCACTGACCGCAGGGATGGAGGATAAATAAAATGTAAAGAGGAAGAGACAAGGGAAGATGGAGGCAGGAAGGGGAGGAGGGCCTTAAAAATCCTATACATTAATGCTAATTTACTGTCATCAGTATAGACCTGATGATTATTATTTTTACCTTAAACCAGCTTTGGTGTTAGCAGGGTTCCAGCGGGTGCAACAAGCTGGCTTTATCATCCACTCGCACTCTTTTGTTAGAGTGACAAAGAGACTCTAAAAGGAGAATCGCTGCAAACACCCGAGACCGTGCTATGCTGTTCAAAGGGGGCACTGCTAATGCCCGCCTCGCTTCTGAGAAGAGCGCGTGAGAAAGGCTGCTCAGAGAACTGCTCTCCCTTGCACTCACTGCAACTCTCATTTCAGAAATAAGAATTCGAGATTACAAAACGTGCTTCAGTTGCCAATTTCACGTCTCTTGCTTCGGAAATATTACTGGCTTCTTCTGTTGCATTCTTTTTGGCAACATTCTCTCTCTCTCTCTCTCTCTCTCTCTCTCTCTCTCTCTCTCTCT